TGTGCCTCACCCAGCCCCACAGACCTTCAGGCACGGCTTTCTTAGGAGGCCAGAAGCACATCTCGTATGGAGAAGAAGGAAAAGACAACAGAAATCCTGCACGTCACCAAGTACAAATCCTAAACACACCCAGGCACGTGCGAATTCAGACTGCAGTGAAGGCAATCCCGAATCCCCTTTACCTTCACCACCCCGTGAAGAACGTGCAAGTGAAACAAAGCTCCCTCACGAGAGGACGGAACGGCTGGGCCCAGGGCAGCGTGCCAACGTGACCGCATCCTCCGCTCCGTCTCCGAGCGCTGGCCCAGCTCACCTCCTCTCCTGCAGCGCACCCAGCCAGCCCGCCGGCTTACTGCTCCCTGCCAGCCTGGGGCACACCGGCTGCGCCACGCCGCTGACAGCCACGCGGCACACCAAGGCCTCGCGCTCGTCTTCCTACTTGGAAGTTGGAATCATTGCTGAAATATGGGGAAAAATCCCACTCCCTGCAAGCTCCTGCCTGCTTTCTGTCTTCACGGACTCACTGCACGGTGGGGTTGGAAGGGACCTTCCGAGATCATCCAGCCCAACCCCCTGCCCGAGCAGGTCACCCACAGAAGGTCAGACAGGAACACATCCAGGTGGGTCTGGACTATCTCCGGAGCAGCAGAATCCACACACTCTCTCTCTGGGCAGCCTGTTCCATGCTCTGGCACCCTCAGAGTAAAGGAGTTTTCCCCATGTTGAGGGAATTTCCTGTGCTCCAGTTTGTGCCCATTGCTCCTTGTCACTGGGCACCACGGAGAAGAGTCTGACCTCACCCTCTCGATACCCACGTCCTTCAGGTATTTACAAGCATGGATGAGATGCCCTCTGAGTCTTCCCTGGGCTAAACAGCCCCAGCTCTCATAAGAGAGGTGCTCCATTCCCCTGATCCTCCTCGTACCCTCCGCTGTGCTCTCCAGCAGTTCCCTAGGGAACTACTTCCAAGGAATGAAGCAGCAGCAAGCTCCAAGCCATCTGCCAGCAGCAGCCCTGCACGCGAGGGTACGCGCCTCAGCCCAGCGAAGGGAGAGCCCGCGGGCTCCAGCCACAGCCCAGCGAAGGCAGGCAGCCACCCCCTCCCACAACAGCCCCCGCGCTGCCTGGGAGTTAGTTCCATCCTCTGCTCACGCTGCTTCTGGTCCTCTCTGCCACTGGAGCTGCACGCAGAGCGGTCTCCGGGAAGGCAGCGAAGCACCGCTCCCCACCTCTGAAAAGCCACTCGCACCGCCAGCACACACAGTTTTACTCTGCGAGGCACCGGCTCCGCAACTCCGCTCTTCGGGCCTGGTGCCACGCTCGTCTCCGGCCCAGCTCGCTGACACCTTCCCTCCACACGGCCTGGCATCACCCAATGGCCAACGCTTCGCTCTGGCTTGGGTCAGGCACCCGAGACAACAGAAGTCCATTTCCGCACTCTCCGTACCATTTCTCACGCCGTCTATTCCCAATCTGGCAACCACCCCCCGGCCAGAGGGCTCTGGCTGGGCACTGCAGACACATCGGTACCTCAGCTCAGCTGCATACAGCCAAATTAGACACCTACTATCGAAGAAAGGGTTTTTTTTTTAAAAAAAAAAGTCAATAAAAAGCACTCTTTCATCATTCATCTGACCACAGACCTCCACCTCCAACACACGGCACCATCAGAGCGCATTTTCTCACTCTTCAAGTCTCCAGCTAAATTCCCACATGGGGCTTCCCAGCAAACCTTCCTCCAACTTCCAGAGACAACCAGCACCAGTCAACAACCAAACCTTTCCGCGCTCCTGAAAGCCTCCCAGGAAGGCAAACCAACTGGTTTGCCCCAGTCAGCTTCCACCTCCCCAGCAAAAACATCCCACTCTGCTCTTCCAGCGCCGGGGGCACAGGCCGACCGCGGCATCGCGGCGCTCGGTGCCCGTTCGAGCGCACCCCGAGCCTGTCGAAGGCGAACAGGGGTAGGGAAGGAAGGCAACGTGGCCCCCGTGATGACTTGGGAGAAGAAGCAGGTTAGCAATGCTGGAAGTGTCAGCGTTAGGCGTATGTCCTGCGTTTATTAAAACAAGAGGCGTGGCTACGCAAACCAAACCCCACGGACCAAGAGTCATTGCAGGGGAGAGCGGTCTCGACTCCTCAAACGCCACGT